GGAAAGGAAAAAGGCTTAAGTTCCTGTGAGTTTATTTTAACAACACATACAGAAACATATGGGCATGCTCGTGAACACACACACACACACACACAAAGGGCAAGTAGTAGAAGGATGCTTTTCCATAAAAGGAAAAGCACTCCCTAGAATGCACTCAGTGGGCAAGATCCTACTTGCAGAAGTCAACAGGAAAAAACCTAAAATGGGGTCATATTTTGCATTGTAAAATGAAGGGGGGGAGGGCGGAAATCAAAGGAAAACTGTCTTCTCTATCTTTAATGAGGAAAAACGTTTTTAAAAACAATCCTGCAAATAAAATAAGAGGCAAAAATCTACCCTGTTATACAATTACACCAGAATAAAGCCTCAAGCGGTCGCTCATCTTTTCTTCCTTGCTAAAGGTGACTTTCTCTTCTTGGTCTATTTCAGGATTGCAAACCTCTGGAGGCAGGGATTTCTCTCAGGCTCCACTGAACAGGAAGAAGCGTCCTGGCTTAATGTGTGCCGAGATTTGCCTGGAGATTAGCAAGATGCCCCTTCTTGCAGAACTCCAAAAAAAAAAAAAATAGAAATACCGGAATAAAGCATTTCCTACCCGCTTTTTGTTTTAGCATCAAATTTGGGGAATTGCTTCAGGGAGATAGAGGGGTTTTTTGTTCCAAGCCAGAACTGAATTACAGCCCATTTCCAAATGTTGGAATTTGCCTGCTCTTACTTGACAGGTTCACACCATTGGCTGCAAGATACATGGGTGTTACTGCCGTAGGTCTTCCCAGAGAGGAATAACAGGCAAGGATTATCTTGGTTCAAGGCAGGGCCGTTCAAACTTGGCAAGTTCGAGACGTGTGGACTTCAACTCCCAGAATCCCCGAGCTAACATGACTGGAGGAGGGATTCTGGGAGTTGGAAGTCCACGAGTCTCAAAGCTGTCCAGTTTGAAGAGCCCCTGCTGTAGCTCAGCTTTATCCCACCCTCAGCCTTCTTTTCTGAATTGCACACATTTCCTCTTCTTGGCTTCTTGGTTTTTAAGCCAAGCATTTTCCAACTTGAATTAAAAATCAGAACAACAATGAATGCCCTTTCTGGCACTTACAGGAAGCAGAATCCAAGGAAACAGATTCTTTCTGGCACACTGCACACGGTGAATGGAGGCTACTCAGGAGCAAATCACAGAAACCAAGAACGTGGCTGGTATCTAACGTTGCATATAATGCGATAGGTAGGGATGTAGAGGGTAGGCAGGCAGACAGACACAGGATAAACAGACAGGCAGATAGACAGACAAAGACCGCTGGTTGCAAGTAATCTAGATGCCCTGAGTTGCTGGTCTTCTTCAATAAATCACTTGATCGCATCCAGCCACTCCACCTAATCTAGATGTCCTGAACTGTTTCTTATTAAATCGATAAATAACACAATGCAGGACAGAAAGATTATTCTCCATCCTTCCTTGAACCTTAGTTTGAAGCAGGGGAACGAAATGAAACAACAATAACAACAACAACAAAACCAGCAAGACCACTCCAACCAACGGGGCAAGCCACTGGGATATAAATTGAGAGCAAACCCCACACCGTAGCAGCACTGATGATGGCCCCTTGTTAGGTGGTGAAATGCCTTGTCTGAAAACAACCCAGCTCAGAGAACAGCTCGTTTCAACTCTGAGCTGCAAATATTCTCCTTTATCTGAGTAATAATAACACTTCAGCAAAACCCCAGAGGGAGGAGACATGCCCACTTAAACACTTTCCTCTTCTGCAAGCATCCCAAGGTGCTTCGCAAGCACCCCAAATTAATGCCACTTGATATTAAACCCACCGGGACCAGTCTTCTGCGAATTGAGCTTTTTAAGCCCGGAGCTTGGAAATGTGTGGAAATGACTCTAAGCAAGTCCCAGACGCCCTTGTGCTTGGAAGAGATTTTAGGAGAATTGCCAAAATGTGTGCCCGTTGCTTCTTCCCGAGCCTCTGAATGCACCAGACTTCAATTCCCATACTCCCCAGCCAGCTTAGGGTCTTTTAAAGACCTGGAGTTGCAGAAGGTTGCTCTACAGAGTAGAAACGCTGGAATAATTACAGTTGAATCATCGTTTAATTGAGCTCGAGCGGTTTTTAAATCATTCTCAGAAGCTGCTATTAATGGCCACATGAGGTCATGTTGGACCCAGCAAGGCTTGTTTCCAACGCACCCAAGAGGACCAATTTTGCATTAAAAAAAAAAGAAAATCTCTAATGCTTCTCAGAAGAGAGAGGTTGGGATGGCTGTGTGGTTAAAGTCACTGACTGGAAAGCTGGCGGCCCAAGTCTGAGCCCCACAGGATGGGGTGAGCTCCCGTTCCTCGCTCGAGCTCCTCCCCACCTAGCAGTTCAGAAGCATGCAAAGGTGAGTAGATAAATAGGTACCACTTTGGTGGGAAGCTCAGCTCATCCATGTGCCTCGGGGTTGAGTCACGCTGGCCACATGACCCTGGGAATGTTACAACGCTGGCTCCCTCGGCTAGGAAACAGCGATGAGCATTGGACCCTGGGTTTGGACACCACTAATAGCAATAGCTCTTAGACTTATATACCGCTTTAAGGTGCTTTTACAGCCTTCTTTAAGCAGTTTACAAAGTCAGCCTATTGCCCCCAACTGTCTGGGGCCTCATTTAACCAACTTGGGAAGGACGGAAGGCTGAACCAACCTTGAACCACTAAAAAAGGAGAAATCTTTACCTTTAATGCTTCTACGAACCAAATGTTTTAGAAATTATCTAATATAGCAGAATAAAGGGGTTAGAAGGGACCTTGGAGGTCTTCTAGTCCAACCCACTACTCAGGCAGGAAACCCTAAACCATTTGAAGCAAACGGTTGGCCAATCTCTTCTTAAAAACTTCCAGTGTTGGAGCAGCCACAACTTCGGGAGGTGAATTGTTCCACCGGTTGATTGTTCTAACTATCAGGAAATTCCTCCTTAGTTCCAGGTTGCCTCTCTCCTTGGTGAGTCTCCACCCGTTGCTTCTTGTCCTGCCTTCAGGGGCTTTGGCGAATAGCTTGACTCCCTCTTCTTTGGGGCAGCCCCTTTGATACTGGAACACTGCTATCATGTCACCCCTTGCACCAAAGCTTCAATCAGCAGTGACGGGGGATGAAGTACTGGGCCACTGTTCTCCGGCACCACAAAGGCTGAGCTTCACCCAACCTTTCTCAATGCATTTTCCAGATGGGTGGACATCAATACTCGGAATTCTCATCAACAGCTGCGGTGGGTGGAGACGTTTGGCTGGAGGGCATATGGGTTAGGGAGGCCTTGCCATCTAGGAGTAGACCTAAAGGTGCTTTTTTTCCCCCCCCCAAGAGGCCACTGGACTTTCGGGTTTTGCTTTGAAGACATTTCGCTTCTCATCCAAGAAGCTTCTTCCGCTCTGACTGGATGGATACATGCTTCCATTCCTCATCTAAGAAGCTGAAGTAGCTTCTTGGATGAGAAGCAAAATGTCTTCAAAGAAAAACAAGAAAGTCCACAGAAGAGAAGAGAAGGGAAGGGAAGGAAAATATCTACGGAGATTCTCAGTCCTCCAGGTCCTGGTTGTCCCAAAGGTGCTTTTACAAGAGGCAACTGGACTTTCGGGTTTTGTATTGAACACATTTCGCTTCTCATCCAAGAAGCTTCTTCCGCTCTGACTGGCCGAGAAGCGAAACGTCTTCAAAGAAAAACCAAGAAAGTCCAGTTGCCTCTTGCGGGGGAAAAAGCACCTTCGGGACAGCCATGACCAGGAGGACTGAGAATCTCTCTAGACATCAAATAGTAGACACGGAGCTGCTATTAAAACTAGTCAGATTGAGGAATATCTAGACAGTTGTAAGAATTCGGTGAGAGTTCTGATGACTGATGACTTTCCCGCCTGCACTAAATCCAGGCCAGAACTGGAGGCAGATGCTGCAAAGGCTGGGCAAAAATTTAAACCTGACAACTGTGGCCCAATGGAAAGAGGACCAGCACGGCGCTTTGTGTACTTTGTGGCGCCACTTGACCCAGTTGGAATAGAAGCTGGAAGGCACCTTGGGGAGGTCTTTGAGTCCAGGGGTCTCCAACCTTGACCAACTTTAAGACTTGTGGGACTTCCAACTCCCGGAGTTCCTCAGCCAGCAAAGCTGGGAGTTGAAGTCCCACAAGTCTTAAAGTTGGTCAAGGTTGGAGACCCCTGTTCTAGTCCAACTCCCGACTCATGCAGGAGGCAAGTGGCGGTCCAGTCTCTGCTCCAAAACCTCCAGTGAACCCACAACTTCTGGAGGCTCTGTCCCACTGGTTGCTCGGAAGTTTCGCCTCCCTTGGATGGGTTCCCATCCACTCTTTCTTGCCTCGCCTTCTGGTGCTTTGCAGACTAATGGGACGCCCTCCTCTTTGGGGCAGCCCCTCAAAACAGTTGTTTTTTCCTCTCAGTTGCCAGGAACGCCACAGGGTCTTTGTCTGAAACGGTGCTTGAGCGGGGGGCTGGACTAGAAGACCTCCAAGGTCTCTTCCAGCTCTTATTCCCATTGACTGGCGGGGGGGCGGGCGCCTGAGCAGCGCGCCGACCTCCGCCGTCCCGCCCCTCCGCGATGCCTAGCTCCGGTTCCCCGCGGGCTGCCTTCCCCAAAGCCCGGCCCACGCTGCGGCTCGGCGCCCCCTCACGACCCCCGGCGGCCCGGCCCCTTTGCAAAGGAAGAGAGCCCAAGCGCTGTGGCTTTAAGAGCCCGGAGCCGCGCACTTCTCGCCGCTCTTCCGGCCCGGGGCTACGCAGGGCTCGGGGGGGAGGGGGGCTCTTTGCAAGCCGCCTTGCACGAGCCCCCACGAGGAGGGGGGGTGCAAGCCCCTCTCCTTGCAACCCCAGAAAGGGAAGGAGGCGCGCCCCCCCCCCGCCGCTCCAGGAACCCCCCCTCCCTTTTTTCCCCCATGCGCGAAACACGCGTCACCGCATACAGACACCGCTCGCTGGCTGGCCGGCCGCTTTTCATCCCCGCTCGCCCGCTTCGCCTACCTTCCCCTCGGCGTCGTGCTGCCCCGCCGGCTCCCGGGCCAGCCGCTGCCTAACCTCGCTCATCCTGGGCCGCCGCTCCGCCCGCGCTAAGCTTCGCTTCGCCTCTGCAAGAAAGCAGCAGCAGGAGCCCAGCCCAGACTGACAGCCGGGCCCGGGAATCGGGGCGGGACTTTAGGGGGAAGGAGCCAATCCTGGAGCGGATCGCCCTAAGGGGGCGGGGCCCACAACGGGCAGGCTTTTGCAGCGCAGGAATGGAGCAGCGCAGCCAGGCTGGGGGTGGAGTCGGGCGGGGAACGTTTCCAAGGCGGGTGGGGTCTGCTTTAGCTGAAGCGAAGGGGCCGGAGCGTTTCCAGCAGCCGCCTGAGCGTTTACATCGAACCAGGCCGGCAGGGAAGCCGATTCTCTGCCGTCTGGGTCCCGAGGACACAGGTAAACCTCCAAGCGGCCTCAACGACCCTCCAAAAGGATGCAAACGACCAGTTGTCCGCAAGGGGTATCAATCCTTCCATTGCCCACCGTCCAGTCAGAGCTGAAGGAGCTTCTTGGGTGAGCAGCAAAACGTCTTTCAAGAAAAAAGAACATGACTTGGATGGCTGAGAATCTCCGTAGTCTTTTAGCTATCCAATTTGGGATGAACCCCCTTGGAATGAGGTGGGAGCAGGAATGGATTTCCAAAGGGGAAAAATTATAGACTACAGGAACCATTTGCACCGCTCAGGGGACCCTGAGGACACAGAGAAACCTCCAAGTGACCTCAAAAACCCTCTAAAAGGATGCAAATGGCAAGTTGTCTGCAAGGACTATCAATCCTTCTATTCCCCACCATCCAGTCAGAGCCGAAGAAGCTTCTGGGATGAGAAGCGAAATGTCTTCAAAGGAAAAACAAAGTCCAGTTGCCTCTCGGGGAAAAAAAGCACCTTTGGGACAGCAAAAAGGGTGTTTCTCCAATTTGCGAATTTCCATCTGGGCAAAATCTCTCTCCAATTGCTGGGAAGGTTCTCCCTCCAGAGGACGTGCATCTCAACAGGTTCAGGGTTTCTTTGGGGAACAGAATGATGTGAACTGACAGATTTGATGTACTGGGGAGACCACACTTGTGATACTGCATCCATTTCTAGTCATTACAATATGAATAGATGCTGAGACTCTAGAATGAGCACAGAAAAGAGCAACAATAGCCCTTTGACTTATATACCGCTTTACAATGCTTTCCAGCCCTCTCTAAGCGATTTGCCCACGTGCTTATTTTCCACATACTGCTGTATTGCAAATTCTATTGAGATGTTCGGAATTCATTTAATACTTTTGTGAGAATATGCCAAAGGGACCTTTATTACATAAAGATTCTAATTTCTCAGCGGACAATCTGGGGCCCCATTGAGTCATCATTTCAGGTATTTCCTTAGCTGAACAGAGAAACAGAATGGACTTTGTGGGGGGGTCATAAAACAGAAGGGGAGCAACTTTTGACTTCCTGCTGGCTTCCCCATTGAGTTTCCTTGCAGGAGGGTTGCAGGGAGGAAATCAGTGGGGAAATTTGCCTTTTTTTAAAAAAAAAAAAAGTCAGTCTTGCCACATCTCTTCCAGCTGCATTTTGCAGTTTTTTTTCCCAAGTCGGATTCCAATTCCTATCATTGGATTCCAATTCCAATCATCCACAGCTGAAGGCCATCCAGCACAGGTGAAAATGGTCTGTTCTGGGGAAGAAATGTCCACTTCTGTCCAGATTGGACATCCCTCCTCGCGGCCTCTGATCATATTTGGGGAGGTTGATGGGGAGGGGTCCTTTCCCATCACATCCGGAGGGCGCCAGGTTGGAGAAGGAAGCGGCCTCCGCAGCCCAGGTCAACAAGTCCGGGCAAAACCCCTTCCAGAAACTGGCAGCAAAGCCGTTCTTTCCCTGCACTCTGATTGGTCAGCAGAGCCGCGAGGGGAGGAGACAACAATGACCTCCCATTTTGATTGGTTCTAAATTACGGACAGCCTCTTCGGGGGCCGGAGCAAAAGGCGACGTCTCGGCGCGCAGGCGCACTACATCTTCATGGGCCAGGGGCGGGGCGTCGGTCGCCCGGCTCTATAAAGAGACGCGGGCGAGGCGGTCCGCGCGAAATTTTTCCCGCTCTCACCGACAAGATGTTTGAGGCGCGGTTGATTCAGGGCTCGCTGCTGAAGAAGGTCCTGGAGGCTCTCAAGGACCTCATAACGGAGGCCTGCTGGGACCTGGGCTCGGGTGGCATCAGTCTGCAGAGCATGGACTCCTCGCACGTCTCCCTGGTGCAGCTCACTATGCGCTCCGAGGGCTTCGACACCTACCGCTGCGACCGCAACATCGCCATGGGCGTCAATCTCGTCAGGTAGTGGCCGAGCGAGCGACCGGTGGCGGGGCGGAGGGGAGAAGTCCACTAAGGCGCGAATTCTCCTCATACGCAAAGAAAGGCGGGAACCATTTACTGCGCCGGTCGCGTTGCTGTGACGTAATCCCTTCGCGCCATGGCGGGAAGCGTCGGAGTGTCAAAGCGGGCTTCGCGCGCTCTAGTTCTGGAAGGGGATTGGCTGCCCACGGTTCCTCTCTTTCGGCGCGCTTCCGCCCGATTGGTCGTCCTCTCCTTCTGGGCGTGGCTTGTCTTTTAGGCGCGGGATTGTGCGAGGCAGCATGGCGGTTTTTGCCACTTGGGGAAAGGAAAGAAGGCGGGAAGTGAGGCAGGCAGGGCCGGCGTCTCTCTTGGCCTCCGGGTCCAATGCTCCTCCTGCCCAGTCGAGCTTCCTCTGTGGAGGAAGCAGCCCTCTGGGGAATCCCAAGCGCAAGAAGGCGTGGGGTACCCCCTCTCCTTGCCAGGGTTTGCCTGGCCTCCTTTGCAGCTGGACCGGACCTTTCCCAATTTTAGCTCAGGACTGCCCTGGTGCTCCACAAAAGGGCAGCCTGTGGCAAGTTATTGCAGTCCCTGCACTGGCAGAGTTGCTGGAGGGTCCTCCTTTCCCAGTTGATCCCTAACAGTTGAATCCTGTCTGAGTCCACAACAAAAATTACACTAAAACTGCAAAAATAAATAAATGAATCTTCCCCCCCTCTATATCATTTTCTAGCGTGGGAAAGACCGGTTTATTCTCAAGAATGTAACCTAATAACAAATGACAATAGTGTGCTTTCTAAATGTCCCCCTAGAACAGAGGTCCCCCAACTTGGCCACTTTAAGAGTTGTGGACTTCCAACTCCCAGAATTCTCCAGCCTTCTGGGAGTTGAAGTCCACAAGTCTTAACGTGACCAAGTTTTGGGGACCTCTGCCCTAGAAAGTATGTTATGTGACCAGTTAATCATAGATAGGGAGGGACTGGATCAAAACCAATTTTTGGATCAGGAAATAAAATTGGGAAAAATCTAGGCTGTTGTGTTTGATTTTAAATAATGCCAGTTGGATTACAAACAGGATCCACACAAACTGCTGTTGTGGTGTCCCTTGGGAGAACAGCCTACTTGATCCTCTTGGCTTGCAGTGACTTGTTCAATGTGTCTCGTTTTGTGTATTGTCCAAATAACGCAGTATATCAAAACAATGACATGTGCGTTTCTTTCTCTTTCCTAGTATGTCCAAAGTGCTCAAGTGTGCTGGTAATGATGACATAATCACTCTGAGGGCTGAAGACAATGCTGACACACTGGTTTTGGTATTTGAAACACCAAGTAAGTTTAACTGAATCATTAAATCTGCTTTATCTCAGAAGTAGGTGTTCATTGTAAAACTAGAAGAGGGTAGGATAAATTCTGGTGTCAGAATAGCCGACAAGTTGCATTGATTGCAGTCTGTTAACACCTGTCAAAATACTTTTTTATTCCTATGTTTAATATAGTGATGGCAGCTTATAACTGAAATAGAGCACCCATTATGTAATATATGAATAACAAAACATGCACAATTGGACTAATGTGCATTTTGGTGTAACGATTTGGAATATACAACATTTTAAAAAGTAATGCCAACCAGAAAGTGATTATATGCAGATTTATTTGCAACACTTTCAATCTATGAGCAACCCTTCATTTAGGACTACAGTTGGACTGACATTTTGGTTGTTAAATGAGAGATGCCCACATGATTGCTTGGTTCAACAACCACAATCCTGGTTCTCCCAATCATTAAGCGACTGGAGCAAAGGTGGGTAAGGCAGCAGCTTCCTTCCCTACATGACAGGAACTCCCGTCAGGTTGCAGAAAGCTCGGATCTTTGGACCGCTGCAGGATTTCCCCTCCCCTCCCTCTGTGTGCGGAAGGGAACCTCTGCAATGAGCTGCCAAAACACCTTAAATCCCAAAAGGTTCAACCTTCCATTCTGCAGGCTGTTGGAGTTCCTCTCCTCTCCCCTCGGCGAGGAGCCCTTTCCCCTCTGCAATCTAGCAGGCGGGAGTGAGCAACCTTCCCTGCCAGCTTCCCCACTGACTTTCACAGGAGTGCCGAGCATTTGGCAACTGGTTGTAAGTGCAAACATTGCCAAGTGGCCCGATCTCGATCAAAGACTCTGCTTTTGCTGTCTTTTATAGGTATTCAAGTAGCTTTGCAGATTATGGCTAGTAAACAGTATTGAGTCAGAATGATTTTCTTGTAAATAATGTTAATTATATGATTTTGTTTTGAATAGATCAGGAGAAGGTTTCAGACTATGAAATGAAATTAATGGATTTGGATGTAGAACAGCTTGGAATTCCAGTAAGTGAGTTTTTATCTCAAAGGTACTATTAATGAATTCATTAAATGTAAACGTTATGATGGATGGTTAAAGACTGGCTTGTTTGCTGTCTTTTGACTGAATCTATAGCCGCTGCAAGAATAAAAAAATTACTAATTGCTTGCTGATTCTCTATGTTGCCAATTTGATATAGGTAGTCTTTGCTTATTAATGGCCCTAATTAAAATCAGAATTTCAGTCACTGGGTGAAACGTGTCCCATTTTGGGAATAACAGTTTTTGTAGTCCTGAGTAAAGACAAGCCAGGATCTCCTGCTTCTCCTGTCCTGTTGCCTTCTCTTCAACTCCATCTCCCTGCAGCCGCCCCCCCCACCTGACCTCCTGTCTTCATCCCACTGCAGATGAGGCGTGCCCAACCGTGACCCTTTGCCAAGCGACAGGGTGGCTAAAAGGACGGGCTGGGAGGGAGGAGTTGAACTATATCCTGTGGTCATGTGAGCAGACTGCTAAGCACCCAGATTTTGATTATGTGCCTGGGGTTCCTGCAATGGCCATAACTTAGGGGACTGGACATACGTCAGCGCCTTCATGACTTCATATGGAAGCTTGAATAGGTTACTGTTAAGGAGGGGACTACCTGTGCATGCAGTTTGAATGGCATCTTTTTTTAATGGGGAGGAGGTTAAAAACTGAACTGTTAAAATGTTTTGTGTTGTGGGTTTGTATCCTAGTTCTGAAGCGAAGTGACTAATACTTAACCTTCATAAAATTCTTGCATTTTTTCATTCTGTGCTTGAAGCCATTAGAAAATGCGAGATTAAAAGTACATGTCGTCCTTCCCTCAACTCTTAATAAAAGTTGGGCTACTAACAAGTGAAATCCGGCTTGCCCAATGTCTTTGCTTTATCAGAAGGTTGCAAAATGTGATCACCAGTTGCGGGGGAGTACCTGTAAAACTCTTGCAAAAATAAATATTTGCTCCTCTTGTTAATTTTTTTTCTTTTCTTAAAAAAGACGTCCATTTGATTTGTATCCGTTTTACTGGCCCCGCTGGTTTCTGTCCCGTGAGAAATGGAAACGCAATCCGGGTGTCGCCTTGAGCCTCAGCCAGCCCTACAATTCCTTCATATGGTCTTTCAGGAACAAGAGTACAGCTGCGTGGTGAAAATGCCCTCGGCTGAATTCGCACGTATCTGCCGTGACCTCAGCCACATTGGAGACGCCGTTGTGATCTCCTGCACGAAGGATGGGGTCAAATTTTCCGCCACGGGAGAACTTGGAAGTGGAAATGTCAAGCTGTCACAAACCAGCGATGTTGACAAAGAGGAGGAAGCTGTGAGTAGGCAGCAGGGAAGCTGAAACTCCCCCCTTGCCGTTGTTCCCCCTCTTCTCTCGGTTCTTTAACCTTCATCTGTTTTTTTGCAGGTATCCATCGAGATGAATGAGCCCGTCCAGCTGACCTTTGCTTTGAGATACTTGAATTTCTTCACCAAGGCCACACCTTTGTCTCCTACAGTTATACTCAGCATGTCTGCGGATGTTCCCCTAGGTAAGTGGGGGCATTGCGGGTCTCGCTGAGAAATGGGGCCAGAGTCTGTTTCCTGGATTGGATTGATGGCTTCGGACAGGCCATTAACTCTTTTTCCTTGGCTCTTTTGTCTCCTGCAGTTGTGGAATACAAGATAGCAGATATGGGACATTTGAAATATTATTTGGCCCCAAAGATTGAAGATCAAGAAGAATCGTAAGAAATTAAAGGGTGCGGGGAGAAGGGGTGTGATTTTTGCGAGGCTGGTAGCCCAGGGTCTCTTTCAGTTATACTCAGTCTTGGTGCACCAGATGCACTTAGACCCTTTTGTAGATATTTCCATGTAAATACTTCTCCTTTTTATTATGTGAGTACCTAAAATAGTTGTAGGGCCTTTTTTTATTGTTCAGCTTTTAATCCTTTTCGTATGAAAGTGAATGCGGTATTTAAAAACAGTAACTTCTGTGTGGAGAGCCTGCGTAACCCTATAGATGCCATCCATAATAACCCTGCATGAAAATCGGAATTTTGCAGCATTTATCCGCCTGTTAATTGAAACGAGAATGCTAATGACTGCAAAAAAAGAAATGTTTGGAGGAAAAAAATATGTTCTAATGGCTTGCCTTGAAATGGGAATCTTTGGAAGTGAATACTTTTTTTCAATAAAGGATATTTCTTCTTTTTTTATTTTGCCTCGGGACAGTTTATCATTACTGCCCAATTTCTTGGATCCATATATCTTCCCGGCTTATACTGCTCATTTCTCCTGTGGATAGGATTCTGTTTCCCACCACATTTCAATTGTAGGTGATTAATTTTTGCCTGAATGTTCAATAAAACTAGCAAGTTTCAAAATATAAAGCCTTTTGAAGCAGCATTGGTCAAGATGACCTAGGAGTAATCAGATGTATTCAGCTACATATGTTTGGGAAACAAGTAAATGTTGACTTGTTGGTGAGTCCATGCAGTTTTCTTGACCAGATTTCTGGGGGTGTGATTTGTCTTTCCCTTTTTTTTCCTGGGGGGCGGGGAGAGAAAGAAGTATTGTCCATTGTTCTCGGCACAACGAAGTGTGTTGTGGGATCATTGGAGTGTCTAGAAGGATAAAGCACCGGTTAAATCCCTGGCAACGAACGAGTAAAACCGAAAGAAGAAAGTCACCTTTTCTGGTAAAAAGCTATGTTTTTGCTGACTGGGGCTGTGAGGAGTTGGCTTGCTGCTTTTTTTAGGGTGAAAGGGGGATTTAAAAGCACGTTGGCCAGTTGAGCTGGCGCTATGGGGCCGAGAGGCATTTTTACACTTTGGAACTTAGCAAATTTGGACCGTGAGATCTGGATTAAAGAATATACTGCGTGTCAATACGGAACCAGAAAAACGTTCTCTTTTTTCCCTGGGATGAAATTATTTAGCAAAGTAATTGATGGCAAGCGGGATATTTTCAAGGATTTTATACCCCAAATAAGCGCACTAGAATTTCCCATCGCTCAACATCCAAAATGTATCCCCCTTCCCCTTCAGTGGCAGAAAATTGTGTATGTATGCTGAGACACACGAGTCGTCCTGGCTCGGATAGGAAGGTTGCAATCATCCCAGTAGAAATACGAATGGGAGCCGTTTGAAGGGGAGGGTGCTGCAGAAGCCCAATTATTCGGGGGGGGGGGGAGGTGGGGCCACGAAAAGGCTGCCCCTGGGCTTCAAGCTGGCAGGAAGCGCCTCCCCTGAGCTGCCTATGTATACAAAGTCTTCCTGAGGGCTCCCTTTGTGGCGAGGCAGGCGAGGGGCCTCGGTTCTCCTTGGCTGGACTGGCCGAATATTGTCCCTTATTGTAGAAGTAGAATGCGAGAAGGGTTTTCTAGCCAAAATGTTAAGTTGAAGTGGGAGGGGGGAAAAAAACCCCCCACCCTGACCACACACCCCTGAAGACTTGAGGGAGCCCTGGGAGGACAGTTAGAAAGATTTTAGTATACAACTAAAATGGGAAAGCCAAGATATAATCAAGGGCAGCTCCCCAAATGTGCTTCCTTTAAGACTTGTGGACTTCAACTCCCAGAGTTCCTCAGCCAGCCATGAATGATAGAGTTGGGAGAGACTCCAGAAGGGTCATTAACCCAGGGGTCTCCAACCTTGGCCCCTTTAAGGCTGGTGGACTTCAACTCCCAGAGTTCCTCCGTGGGAATTATTTCCCTGGAAGAAGCAGCTCCAGTGTAGAGTTGCCTCCTGCAAAGGACCCTCGTCTGCGCTTCTATGCATAAAACGAAGCCATCCCCCGGCCTTGCAGTGGGGAGACATTCTGGGGCCCCTTTAGGCTCTCCATCCCCATGGAGCCCCACATTCCTGTTAAGTGAGACAGCCAAGGGATTTCACCCCGTTTTGCGACCTACCTTGTCAGTCAAGGGAATCACTGCAGTGCACAGCACCACAGAACCTGGCTTCCCCAATTGGTGCTGCTTGGGGGGGCGGGAGGGTGTCTCAAAGGGGGGTTGCACGACTGCCCTGGGACACAGCGACGGTCATAAACATGAACCAGTTGTCAAGCGCCTGGATTTTGGTCCTGGGGAGGCTGCAACGGTTACAGGAAAGCGGTTTGTAATAAAGTCACACGTTTCAGTGCCTTGTAACTTTGGTCACTAAACGAGTCGGGTTGAGAGCTACCTGTCCTTCATGGTTTGGTCAGTCTGCTCTCCAAACTGACCAGGGAACCCCCTGCAAGGCCGCAAACCCCCAGGACCTGGCCAGAGTAGTGAAGGGCGTGACTGCGTGAGGCTTTGCACGCCGAACCCCCACGAGAGCCGCGCACACGGCTTTGCTGCATGGGCAGGGTGGTGTGTGTGTGTGTGTGTTCCTTCCCAGGGGGATCCCAGCAGCGCAGCTTCTGCACTTAGAGGAGTTACTGGGGTGGCGGTCCCAGTTTGGGCCACCACGCTATAAAAAGGATGTTGAGACTCCAAAGACTGCGGAGAAGAGCAACCAGGAGGATGAGGGGACTGGAGGCTGAAAGATAGGATGAACCGCTGCAGGACCTGGGCTTGGCTGGTCTAGGGAAGAGAAGGACCAGGGGAGACAGGAGAGCATCTTCCAATATTTGAGGGGCTGCCACAGAGAGGAGGAGGAAGGGGGTCAAGCTATTCTCCACCTGAAGGCCAGACAAGGAATAATGGATGGAAAGTGAACAAGGAGAGATTCAACCTAGAAATAAGGAGGAATTTTCTGAGAGGGAGAGCAATCAACCCCTGGAACAGAAGTTGCCCTTGGAAGTTGTGGGAGCGCCATCCCTTGAGACCTTCAAGAAGAGACTGGACTGCCATCTGTCAGAAATGGTGTAGGGTCTCTCGTTTGGGCGGGGGGGGGGGGGGGGGGTTGGACTAGATGACCTACAAGGTCCCTCCCAGCTCTGTTCATCTGACTTTAATGAAGAAAAGGACCAGGGGAGACAGGAGGGCAGCCTTCCAGTATTTGAGGGGCTGCCGCAGAGGGGGGAGGGGTTCTCCTGCTTGGGCAGGGGGGTTGGACTAGATGACCTCCAAGAGCCCCTCTCCACTCTTTTCAACCTGGAGCCAGCTTGGATGCCTTGGCACCAGCCCAACCTGCTCGCGGGGCTTAAGCGGGGCAACCCGAGGCGGGGTGCCCGTCTCTGCGCGATCTTGCCCGGCCGGGAGCGGCGCGGCGGAGGGAGGGAGGGAGGGAGGAAGGAAGGAAGGAGGGAGGGAGGGAAGCGGCCGCTGCCTCCCCCCCCCCCCGCGGGACCCGCCTCTGGGCGGCGCAGCTGCTCGGCGACCTGGAAGCGGCTCCGGCGAAGACTTCCTGGCGCAGGAAAGGCTGCCATGGCGCGGCCCCGAAGGTAGGCGGGCAGGCGGGCGGGCGAGGCCGGGGAGGGACGGAGGGAGAGAAGCGGCGCCCAGGCGGGAGGAGGAGGAGGGGGGGCGGAGAGACCCCCCGAGCCCCCAACTGCCCGCCCGGGGTCTCCTCCCCTTGGAAAGGGCCGCGGACTCCACCTCCCAGAGCTCTCCGCGCGCGGAGCCCTGGGGGACGCTGGGAGTTGGAGTCCGCCCCTCTGGAAAGGGGGCTGCTGAGGCTGAGGACATCGGGCCCCCCCCCCCCCCCCCCCCGCGGGGCAAAGGAAGACCTGGGGGGGGGGGGGGGGGGGGGGGCGCAACATGCTGGCTCCGTGAGCCTCTTAGGGGTCTCCAACCTGGGCCCCTTGAAGACGGGTGGACTTCAACTCCCAGAATTCCTCAGCCAGCAAAGCTGGCCTAGAGAAGGGCTGGAAAGCACTGTCAAACAGTGCATAATAATATGAATATTAACAATAACAATACACAGCAAAAGAAACCCAGCATAGTCCTCTCATTTGCTGTCGTTTTTTGTGAATAATAAAACAATAACAACAATAATAACAGATTAACAGAGTTGGAAGGTCCTTGGAGGTCATCTAGGGCTCAGCACTCTTGCTATCTTCCTCCCTCCCTCCCAGAAGGCAGTGCAGTATTGCTGGCTAACTCTGCCCGCTGCCAGGAGTTCGATCCTGAGTAGCTCAAGGTTGACTCAGCTTTCCGCCCTTCCAAGGTGGGTAAAACGAGGATGCAGATTGGAGGGGCGGCAAGAGGCCGACTCTGTGGACTGCTTAGAGAGGGCTGTAAAAGGCCCCGTGAAGCGATATAAAGGTCTGAGGGCGATTGCTATTTCCCTCCCTCCCTCCAACTACACCAATTTACAACCCTAGTGGTGCAGCCTCCGTAAAGTCATTGTAGGTTGGGGATTATTAGCTCTCCCCACCCAACCCAGGAACAAAAGTTTGTTTTCTGGGGTCTCAGTGGGTCTCCACTTTGTAGTTTCCGGGGCCTCGAATGCCTTTTCCTTCTTTGCATGGCTTAAAGTACACAGGGGTTCCTTTTATCGGCTCTGATCCAGGTTGTAGCTGGGAGGAGTTGTCGCTTTCGCTGAAGAAGATGCCGTCCCGAACGAATTTGGCTGCTTCCATCCCCAGCAGCAAAGTAAAGTATTCGAAGCTCGCTTGCACGGATGAAGGATACATTGACCTGCAGGTAAAAGGAAGGAGGGAAAGGGAAGGAGGAAGAAGAGAAGGAAGGAAAGGAAAGGAAAGGAAAGGAAAGGAAAGGAAAGGAAAGGAAAGGAAAGGAAAGGACCGCGTTTTATTTTATCCTTATCTTTTTAATCCCACTGTTATGTTGGGTAACTCAATTTATTTATTTTTATTTATTTACCTTTTTTTAGAGTTATAGTTCATTGTCATTGCACCTCGTACAATGAAATTAAATGCCATTTTATTAAAAAAATAAATAAAAAGAAAACAAAAGGACACATCCTTCCCATTCTATACAATTGAATTGAAAACCACTGATATCTGTTTGCAGGGATGCCCGCCAGGGGGCAGCCTTGTCATGGCACTTCTTCCTTTTTAACCCAAAGTTGCTCCCCGCCCCCCCCCGGAGGCAAAATTGGGATTTTCTGTTTTGTTTTTTTTCCCTTTGAAGACGTTTTGCTTCTCATCCAAGAAGCTTCTTCAGCTCTGACTGGATGGCGGGGAAGGGAAGGATTGATTCTCCTTGCAGACAGCTGGTTCTTTGCATCCTTTTGGAGGGTCCTTGAGGCCACTTGGCCACTTTATCTTTGTCTTGTTAACTGTTGCATCTAAAACGGGGGTCTCCCAACTTGGCAACTTTAAGACTCCCAGAATTCCAGTCCACCAGACTTAAAGTTGCCGAGTTGGGAGACCTCTGATCTAAAAGGATGCAAATGACCAGCTGTCTGCAAGGAGCATCAATCAATGTGGCCCTGAACACATCCCAAGATATTCTTTTTATGCTTTTCTGCACGCATTTCACAACTTCTCTGTTCTTTCTTAACTGACAGACAGTCTCCACATATACCTGTGTACATCTCAGACCTCTATCCATTGGCTACTTTCTGTTCCCTATTTCTCACGGTTTTCAGAACTAGGTACTTTGCAAAATCGCATTCCACAGCAACAGCTCAGCAGGATCACAAATAGTTCTGATACACTTTGAAATCATCCTATCTAAAACTTTGGTTCGTGTCTCTTTTATTCTGGGGTCTGCTATCATCCCCTTATTGAATCTGATAGATCAATAGCCTATTTTTTTTCTTCCTACAGCACGGATGTTCCTCTTGGCTTCCAAGGGCTCACTAAGAAAGGTTTTTTTTCCAAATGACCCTCAGAGCATTTAAAGTATTTTCCTATATTATTTATTAACACGCTCTGATGCTAAGGAGTTCGACTCCCCCTCCCCGCCTGAAAAGAAACCTGTTCCAAATGCTCCTTGCTGTCTCCTTGCCCGCACAGCAAATACTGTTTCAGTTTCCAAACAGCCCTCAATTCTCACACACTGACAGGATTCTAGCCAGATGAATACCGATGGATGCTGGTAGGCAGAGGCAGAATCCCCCCGCCCTTATTTTCCTCCCCAAAAACTAAGCGCACCGCATAGTTTCGTAGCGAAGCACACGAGTATCCAGCTAGTTACTTATATATTTTGCTGGGAAACGGCTCTTAAAAAGAATTTTGTGCTGCCCAGTGTGGGCCTCTCCCAGGTGTATGAACTACAGTTCCCAGAATTCCCCAGCCAGCGCAAAGCGTGGCTGAGAAGTTTAGGATGTGGGACTCTGGGCCCGGAAGGCCGTTCTGCGCTCAACCTGTTTTTCTCCCTAGTTCAAGAAGAGCCCCCCGAAAGTCCCCTACAAGGCGATTGCGCTGGCCGTGGTGCTGTTCCTGATTGGCACCCTCCTCATCATCATTGGCGCACTGCTCCTTGCCGGGTACATTAGCCAAGGGGTAAGTCGTGAGTGGCGATTCCGTCCTGGGAGACTCTGGTGGGCAGATCTGTGCAGGTGGGCTGTATTGTCCAAGAACAGGGCCAGAGAGACCACCTGGGAAAACGGCCCCCTCTGGGACCAGAGGCACAGGTGGGTGTTCAGCCAGTTCTGACCGGTTCTGCAGAACCGGTAGCGGAAATTTTGAGTCATTTGAAGAACCGGCCAATCCCACCTCTGACTGGCCCCGCCAACCCCATAAATTCTCCGCCTCCCATTGAGTCCCAGCTGATCGGCTGGGTCTCCTTTGGTTGCCCTGCAAAAGGAGAACAGAGCTGGAAAGCAGGCTAGTGGGGTGGGGAGGGAAGGAGGATTTTGCAGTATATCCTTCCCCTGCCACGCCCACCAAGCCACGCCCACAGAACCGGTAGTAAAGAATTTTGAATCCCAGCCCTGATCAGAGGGGTCAGTATGCAAGAGGGCTGTGGTGGCTTGGAAATTTGGAGGTCCCTTGATGGCGTTTGGCCGATTGATTCCTGCCTTGGAGTCCGCTGCTTTCAAGGTATTTGGAGTCCCGTAATTTTCTTCTTTGGGTCCCATAATTCCCACCAGGTGTCAGATGAGGTCCATCATACCTGGAGGAGGAATAGAATTGGATGAGCTGGAAGGGACCTTGTAGGTCATCTAGTCCAAACCCCCATCCAAGCAGGAGACCCTACACCATTTCTGACAGATGGGAGTCCGGTCTCTTCTTGAAAGCCTCCAGGGATGATGAAGCTCCCACAACTTCTGAAGGCAACTTCTGTTCCAAGGGTTGATTGTTCTCACTGTCAGAAAATATCTCCTTATTTCCAGGTTGAATATCTCCTTGATTAGTTTCCATCCATTATTCCTTGTCTGGCCTTCAAATGTTTGGGGGAATAGCTTGACCCCCTCCTCCTCTCTAGGGCAGCCCCTCAAATATTGGAAGACTGCTCTCCTGTCTCCCCTGGTCCTTCTCTTCCCTAGACTAGCCAGGCCCAGTTCCTGCATTCATTTATTGTATGTTTTAGCTTCCAGTCCCCTCATCATCCTGGTTGCTCTTCTCTGCACTCTTTCCAGAGTCTCAACCTCTTTTTTTATAGTGCGGTGACCAAAATTGGATGCAGTACTCTAGGTGTGGCCTTACTAAGGCCTTAAGGCTTTGGAAATTGCTTGACTCACTCTACTTTGGGGCAGCCCCTCAGATATTGGAAGTCGGCTATCCTGTCTCCCCTGGTCCTTCTCTTCCCTAGACTAGCCAGGCCCAGTTCCTGCAACCGTTCATCATATGTTTTTTTCATACGTTCTTTTCATCTCTTCCCTCCTCCAGGGAACCGATCGTGCAGTTCCTGTCTTGATCATCGGAATCCTGGTTTTCCTTCCGGGCTTCTATCACTTGAGAATCGCCTACTTCGCTTCCAAAGGCTACCGGGGCTACTCCTATGACGACATCCCGGATTTCGACGATTAGAAGGCTCTGAAAGGCCACGGCGTCCGAGAGATGAAGCCAAAAACAACCCCAAGCTTAATTTGGAGTGAGGCTCTCTCTTTGGACCACCAATCCTAGCAGCCGTTAATACTCCTTAAGGATTTCTTTGGCAGGGCTCTCAGTTCTTGTTTTCTTCCTGGGCCCCTCCGAGAGGAAATTAACTGCATCGTGTAGAGGAAGAGGAGGCCTTGTGAGAACAAGTTTCTGGTTTGAGGGGGGGAAATTCTTGACAGGTGTGTTTCCACCGAGCAGAAGGAGGAAAAGAAACTCAGGGGTTTACTAGGCGCTTCTACTTTATGATTATTATTTCACTTCTTCCTCTAGAGCAGAGCCTCGGCCAAGCTGACACCTGGAACCGGGGATGGAAGGGGAGCGCTCATTAAATTGGTCTAGGCCAGAGGTCCCCAAACTTGGCCACTTCAAGACTTGGGGACTTCAACTCCCAGAATTCCTCCTCCAGTCACGTTAGCTCGGGAGTTCTGGGAGTGGAAGTCCACAAGTCTTAAACTTGCCACGTTGGAAGGCCTTTGCTGGGGCTGATGGAATCGCCTCCCCAGAGAGTAAGCCGAGAGTCTGGTGGTATCCTCAGATGGAATTGGGCTGTGAAATCAGAACCCGGGGCCAGACAAGACTCTGTGAGAAAATAATGTGGAGCGCATTCCAGAGACCTCAAAACGAAACGAAATGTAAAAAAAAAATAGGTCGAATGCAGAGAGAGAAAAATCAAATACTTGGTTAAAAAGCAACCCCTTTTCCCACAAACAACTACTGAGTTCCATGCTTTTTGAAACAGGCACGTTTTAGTAACAGCAAAAGTCTGTGTGAATTAGGGGTGGGCAACTATGGCCCTTTTAGGAGCTGTGAACCTCAACTCCCAGGAATTCTTGGAGTTGAAGTCCACAAGGTCCTAAAAGGTGTATAATTACCTAGAGGGAGGAAGATATAACTCTCCCTGGCTAGGTGTCCCCAGGAGCGGATATCGGAAAGCTTGAAAAGTGCACATGGGGATATGCAGCCTGGAGCCCTGGAAGTAAAGACAAACCCTGTTGGAAGTTGGCCCAAGTGTCCATGTCAGCCACACCAAAGCAAAACCACCCTAATTTTTCCATTCGTTGATGTTGAAGTCGCCATGATTTCCTGAAGGGGTTTGGGGGGTTGTTGGTTTTTTGGGGGACAGGCTGCCTGGACCCATTGCCTTGTCCTAGGCAGAGATCGTGGGCTTCCTTTTGCCGCCAGTGAGTTATCGGTTATTTTTTTCTCTGGATTCTCTCACAGGATTTACAGCCTGTGGAATGCAAGGGAAAGCTTAAATCTGCGTTGGGAAAGCTTAAATCTGCAGGTTCCGGTTGCCGACTTAATAAAGAACTTGTGATGTTCAGTCTTAAGGTACTTTTCCAGCCTGACGTTGCCTCTGTTCTAGGGTAAAGGCGGGAGAAGGAGCCCCTTGTCCTGGGAAGCCCCCGGACGGATATTTTTAATTTGAATTTTTGTAGCAAGGCTTTGGACTTTCGAGTTTAAAAAAACAACAACTAAAAACCTGGGTTAACAAAACATAGTTGTTGGCTCCCCGCTAATACGCTGCGACTGAACAGACAAGCAACAATAGCGGTCCAACTTAACTTGAAAAACCACTAGTACTACTTAGTGGCAGAGTTCACACAACGTGCTAGAATCCTATTTTGCTGATCAGCTGGGACTCAATGGGAGGCGGAGAAGAGATGGGGGTTGGCGGGGCCGGTCAGAGGTGGGATTGGCCGGTTCTCCGGACTACTCAAAATTTCCGCTACCGGTTCTGCAGAACTGGTCCGAACCGGCTGAATCCTACTTCTGCTTCCTTCCTTCCTTCCTTCCTTCCTTCTTTCCTTCCTTCTTTCCTTCCTTCCTCTTCCTCCTGCGATGTTCTATCCCAGCTGGGCATTCTGTGTGAAGTCAGCAAATTGCGTTTATCCAGTGAGCCCCAACTAGTCACACAGGGACACAGAAACCCGAGGCGACTGTTTGTTTTGGCTCACCGTTGTCTGCTGATTCAATCACCCATGATTTATTGCATTGTGCAGGGTCAGCTTGCTTTGGGGATAGACGTACCTAGCCGCGATCAACACGGGGAAGGGTTATGTAGTCCGTTTTCTTTCCACCTAATTGGGCTAATGAATGAATCCCCGGTCAGGGAACATGACGCAAGAGGGGGCTCCGTTGCCTCCCACCGATGACCTGTTTTCCCCCACTTCCAAGCCCCCCCTTGCCCCCCTCCCCAGCTGGTTTCCACGCCTGCCTGAGGTGCTCCTGCATTAATGGCCTCGTTCTTGCCGGCAAAACCCGCTTCCCAGAGGCCCAGCTGGCTGAGATACGGGGATGATTCAGCTTCGTTTCAGCAGGGTGTTTTTGGGGGGAGTGGGGGTACTAAGGTCAAGATATACAGCATTTTCCTTCCAGCAGGCTGGGAGTGGCCGGGTGGGTGGGTGGGCGATGCTTCTGGAAGGTGTAAGGTTGGAGCCTTGGGATGGGAAGAGAACAGGAAAACCGAATGCAGTGCTGAGCATTTCTTTTGCAGGCTAGAATAAAGGTGGTAGGAATTGCACAGCTCCAGTCCAGTGAGAAGAAGAACTAGGGGTGACAGGATAGCGGTGTTCCAATATTTGAGGGGCTGCCCCAAAGAAGAAGGGCTCACACTTATTCTCCAAAGCACCAAGAAGGCAGGACCAGAAACGAGGGTTGGAAACCGATCCAGGAGAGAAAGAAGCAACCTGGAATTCAGGAGACACGTCCTCAGAGCGAGGACAGTGAACCTTTGAAGTTGTGGGTGCTGGAGGTTTTTAAGGAGAGACTGGACAGTCCCTTGTCTGAAATGGAATATAGGATCTCCTGCTTGACCAGGGGGCTGGACTAGCAGACCTCCAAGGACCCTTCCAGCTCTATTCTGATGATTCCTGGCGCTGGACTCTTCGGGACAGAGGGTGGTTGTTGCGCCTGGGATCTCTGTTGGAGCCGCCTTAAAACCTCGGAAGTTCAGCTTTGCTAAGGCAGCCGAGGAAGGGAGAAAAGTCAAAGCGTGGCGCAGGATACCCATCTGGTGTCTTTGTGGGGACGTTGTCACGATGATACGGAGAGCAGGTGGGGTTCTCTGATTGCACTTCTGCTGGGCTTCCAACGAGCGAGTGAGTGGCCGTCTCAGGCGGTGTCCTTCTTACACAGACCCGACAGAGCCCTGGGCAGCCCTCCCTTCTCTTCGGGCCTCTCTTGCAGCTCAACAACACGTACACCTCTTCCCCCTCACCCCCCAACCCCCCCCAACCCCCCCACTCTTTTCTTGTGGCCTCTTAAAGACCAGCTGGGCAGAAAACACCCAACCTCCTTTGCAACAGATCTTGAATGGGCCTCAAATCTCCTGCAGGAGGGGAGGAAAAAAAAAATGGGGGCCCCCCTGATGCTGTAATACAGCTAATGCGTGTGAACCTTGGACTGTTTGCTCAACCCACTTGGCTGGCTCTGGGCGGGGGGGGTCACGGCCCTGTTGATGTAAGGACAACCCACTCCCCCAAAAGAGCCAGCTGGTGTTCTAAACCAGGGATCTCCAACCTTGGCCACTTTTGTGGACTTCGACTCCCAGAATTCACAAAACACTTTCCAAGCATTTAGGATAATAATAGCATATTATTATTATTATTATTATTATTATTATTATTATTATTATTATTA